AATCTCTCAATAACACATTCAATACTTTCAGCGTTCTAAATTTCAAAATCTGTTCTCATTCTATTTATGTTCTTCATTCACAGGGCTGGTTTCTGTATATAATATTTTATTATTTTACTATTTTTATGTCATATGTTTTATCTATTGTATTTTAATTAATTAATCGATGTATTTTATTATAATTGTCGAGCAATAGTAGTATTTCTAAAAGCTCTATAAATAAAAAAATAACTTTATAGGTAGAACAAAACCTGTAGATAATAACTTATCATTCTAAACCAGTATAATTTATTTACGAATTAAATTTATTCAATTTCACAAAAAATAACTTAGGTTTTTAAATAATTGCCAATGAAAAATAATTGGGTACCTTTGCAACTTCTGCGTTCATGAACTATAAATATCTGAAAATATCTATCATAGACGGGTTTAAAATAAAATCGTACAAATCGATCAAGTCGATGTTCATTTATGTTATTAATGTTATTAAATTAATTATATCAAGTAACAATAATAATATAATATAAATGGTATGTTGTTAATTTGTCTTCTGACCGATTTCGGGGCAAAAATAAATACCAATACTAAAAATGAACTAGCAACACCGCCGATCAAGACTATGTTAATGATGTCGACTACGCGTCGATACCATGGCGTTAAACGCATTAAATATTTTAAGTTAAATAATATAGTTAACTTTCAGTAATATTACTTAGATTATGAAAAAGCTTTTGGCGCCCGATGCACACGCAACTCTCGCACAGCCCTGATGACTCGTGTTTTTAATGCGTATTGAACGTTATTAAAAAATAAATAAATAAATAACTAAATAAACGCTACCTACCTGTATTATGTTTTTAAATGATATTTTTAATTTCTTTTTTTAAGCGATACCATGTCATTAACGATCGTCGACCACTGCGGGCAAAGATCTATATGATGACATTGTGCGCGCACGTTTTTCACTCGTACCGCCGCCGCCGCCGCCGCCGCAGGCAGCGTCAAATTACGCGCGCGTGACGGTCGGTAACGAGAACGACGACAAATTCTAAAACTAGAGGGGGAGGGGGAAGAAACACGAAATTCATTTGTGCAAAACAAGTCGACTACCGCATCGTCGCGTTCGCGAGCACTGCGAAAAGAATGTACGTGCGAACGGTAACTGCAGCTCGCATGTTTGGTGAGGCCATAGGAGTAACGATCGTACATGCTTTTGAAAAATTTCAGTCCGCGGTGGAACAATGATGATGGGGCTACTCGGTTTTTTTTCTGACTAGTCAACTCAAACTTATAATATCACTCGGCATGATCCCTAAAACGAATGTAAAAGACTAACCTAACCCTAACTTAACCCGCCATTTCATAAACACAAATAAGAATGAATTTTGTACATTTTGTCGCATTGAAACTATGAACATCCTGTGAAAAAAACGTAACTTTGTAGAAACATTTAGTGTGTTAAAAAGAATTACAGATAAAAAAAAATTATTTCTAGCTGCAGATAATCGAAGTATAGAGAAAAAATGGTGTAAATATAATGCTGGCCTACTAGAAATTTTGTTTTAGAAAGCGGGGTCGCTCAAAAATCTCTATTAGCACTTTGGAACGCCAGTTATTGATCGTGATATTTCCGGAGGGAACAAATGGTTTTCACATCTCGACCATAACATATGTTTGATGGATTCGTAAAGAGCGACGATTATGATGGGCCGCCCAAGTTCGTGGAAGGGTCCAAAGTTTTAAATAATATATCCGGTCTCGAACGTTTCCAAAACCAGAGCGATTATAATTATTCGTGATTCCCTTACGACCTGTCCATCAAAAATAGATTGGGAAAAATCTGGCTTACGACAAAGTCGGCACCGCAACATTTTCGCGTTTCTCCTTTCATCGAATTTTCGGCGATTGAAGCACTGCCGCCCCACGCCCCGAAAACAACCGTCCCGCGCGTAAAGCTGTATTTTGTATGAATCCACGGCACACGACGTCCGTCGTCGAACGACAACTCACGCAGCTAACACGTGATTTGCACGTACGCAAGGGAATATATTACGATTACAATTACTATTGCCATGATTATTATTGTTAATATTATTTCTGTTGGTACTATTATTATTACTGTTATTTTCATATAGTGCGCGCGCGACGACGGACAATTTGTTTGTCGTGTAATTAACGGCGGCGGCGCGTCACGGGCTGAGGTCAGTGTTTTCCTTTCATCTTTCGCCGCCACAACCGGTGCCCGCTCCTACGTACTCGATACCTATTACGTACGCCGCGGCGTACACCCGTCACCGCGGCCGTAACGCGATACCGCTCGACCGTGCCGATGGTCGAAACCATTTCAAAGCGGACGTAACCTAGAACACCGTAATTCGTCCGTATTCGAGTATCCGACGGAGCGGTGTTGTAATGCAACCAATACGCGATCCGTGCAACACACCGGGTAGAACCGATGGTGGGCCCGCGAAAAACCACCGCGCGTAAATAACGTAGATCGTATCCACCTTTGTGCGGGGACTTTTAGAAAAATCACCGTCCCCGGTCTCCTCCTTTCGTCCGCAGCACATCTCAGCGGAACCGTATCGAAAACGGTACTCGACTCGACTTTGTACTACCTCGAGGATGGGCTAACAAACTTCGAAACAATAAACTTAATTTTTCGGATAGCGTTTATTTGGTGCGCCAAATAAATGCTTCGTTATGTGTACCGTTTTGAAACCACGAACATGCCTACGTCAAAGAACATATGATATTGTACCGATACGATTTTACTCCTCGGACGATGCGCGTTCTCAACTAAAAATGAGTTTCAACGAAACGCGTCTACGAATCATTGACTTTTGTATCGCATTTCTCGACATTAATTACTTAACACTTTGAGGAAAATAACATACCGCTCGCGTATACCGTGCTACTTTAACCTCGATGCCACGTGAGTGCTGACCGTAACGATTTTAGTTAATAAAAAGACAATATGCGATCCATTATAAATAGTCAGTATGCCGTCCGATGCGCGTACAGATTCGTTTTTACGGTCGACGGCAACGCTTATAAATGGTGTCGTGCCGACCTTTGAATTTTCATTTGGCTTACAGACGTTCGGTCTTAAGAGTATCGTAACTATTTCTCTTTCTGTTCAGCCAAATGACTTATTGATGGGGAAAACATAAAAATAGATTGCTGCATCGCATTGTGTTTTTCAATACTTATGATACGAGTGTAGGTTGGTGTTAAATATATTTTTATTTTTATTTTGATTTAATGCACATTTGAGGGGCTAAACAAATATTTGGAAGAAATAAGCCCCTTCCCCCTTGCCTCTACCTATTTGCACGGTCGCGAATAGACGGTCCGGATTATCTCCCAAATTGATAGTTTAGTTTAAAAATTACGTCTTATGGTTTACGGGAAAACATCCACAGACGCAAACTAAAAACGAGCCACTTGGACACCGATTTGTATAAGAACAAATAGTCAACGACACATCCGTCGACATACTTCGTTTATTATATGAGGTTAGAACTGTTTAACAGCAATCTTGTATACGCGATATCTGTGTAATATTGATCGTGCACTACCAATACGCGGTAATTTTTCATTGGTAACAGGTTCGTGCAATTACGTCTACTCGAAACAAACGGTTTGATTTGAAAAAACCTAATTGAAATAGAGACCGTAATCGCCACTGGCGTAAGTATAATTATATTGCAGTATATCGTTGCTTCGCGGTGTTAAGACGACGGTGATATACCGCGTACGAAACGAAAAAAGTCGAATTTTTTTGATACGCTAATGTTCGGTTCGTTATTTTTTTTTCTTTCTATTTTCCTCCGCATTCCATACGAATCGTTTACCCCTCTAGTCGAGAGCAAATAAATGTTTCCTGTATACATATACTCGTATATATACCTATATGTTATATATATGTGTGTGTAGCCCGTAACGGTTTATACATATTATATACGACGAACCCGCTCTATATAAGTACTTACATTAAAAAATATTAATAATACAAGTATCTATTTTACAAATCATATATTATGTATTGTTTTATTCTAATTTACCTAGCCGAATACGGCCATTGTTTCATGTGCAAGAGTGACACGATGACGGGACACACTATATACTGCAGGTCAGGAGCGTATTTATGGGAGGGGCCGAGGGGGCCCGGGCCCCCTCCAAAATTAAAAACACCATTATTAAAAATTATTATTTTTAACATGGATATGTCTTAATGCTGAGGGTTTCCGAAAATTTGTCGCGACACTGAGAACGTTGCTTATGCGATAATTTAAAATTTTATATTTATTAAATATGTTTATTCTTTTAAGAAAATATGTGGTGAATTTTGAGTGACTCTAATAAAAAATTTGTATATTACAATGTAGTTTTTATACTTATAAAAAATAATAAATCATTAAAAAAAATTGAGTTTCTTATTTCTCTGATGGTGTAAAGACAGTCGAGAAGTCTTATAGTGTTAAAGTAATTTTTTTTCGTAATAGTGTGCTTCCTCCTTCCCTTCCATCCAAAAATCAAATACACAGTCGACCTCCTCCGAAATGAAAACCTATATACGCTACTGCTGCAAGTACGATAGTTACACCGAATAACTACCCCACACATATTTAGTTATCAACTCATTCCCTTTTATGTAATTCAAGTACTATCAAAGCTTTATTATTTCTGCCAAACGACGTTTGCTTTTCAGATAAAAAATATAGATGTTTATTATATGTTGAGAACTTTGCACAAAAATAACATTCCAAGGGTATGAAGACCTCGATAACTTTTAAATGTTTAACAATATGTTGTGTAATTTATTTCCAATGAGATTTTATTTATCGTCGAGTCGCGTTTAACTTCTGAAATTCGCTGCACTTGATGCAATTTATCTACCCAAATACAACATTCCATATCACGTCGGTGATCGCACATAGTATAATAGTATATTACATATTTATGTATATTTATTTATTGGGTTTAAATTTTTTCAGATTTTATTCGTTGTATCAGCCATTTTCCTATCCTGCGGGTCAGTTTCCGCTCAAGATGATTCGTCGTCGTTGACTTACCAGGTGTCCTCCGATCGAGTAGTACAGGTAAACCGATTAAATATATTAAGTATTATATTATGTTACTTGTGTACTACATAGAATTAGAATGGTTATAACTTTCTCATATTTTTGCTTTTAATCACTTCAGAACCTGTTTGAAATTTATTTCTCATATCGTACAATTTGTATACGAGATTCAACTTAGGTATTGTATAGTTTTGCGATTTTAAGGTCTTAAGGAATAAACGCAAAGTCTAAGAAAATGCACTTTTCAATGAAAATAGCAACAGATCGGTAAATTTTTCAACGAGATTCATAGTTATCATACTTAATATTTCTTTTTTGTGTGTCTTGCTCAAAAATATTTTAGAAAGATCCTTCTTTGATTCGCATAAATTCAGAAACTAATTTAGTAATATTTAATTTACTTAACTTTACTTAACTTACTAAATTTAAGGTAAATTAAAATTACGAGAAAAAAATTTATGTATTTTTCAACTGAACTAAACGATTAGTATTTATTTCTTAATTTAATAAAAAATTAGCACGAAATAAACGGTGCAAATATAAACTTATATGATAAGTAATAACTTACATGATTTTCTTTTGTTACTATAAATCAATAAAACGAAAATCAAATCGTAAATCAATACTTTTTGAGTATCTCAGTATTTGCTTACATTTCCGATAGTTTTTTCTAGACATAAATATCCCAACTGTAATATTACATAATATAAAACAGTATACGATGTTTATATTGTATATATTATGTAAAACAATCAACATGTATTGTTGTCGCAGCATAAGGAAAAAGTCCTATGCGAACCAAAAGGGTAACAGTATAAAGTTATTATGAAACAAATTATAATAACGAATTAATGTAATACGACGAATCAATGGCGGTGTTTGTTTGATGCACTGTTGTGTTTTGTGTTTACGTCCGCAGGACACCAGTAATTATGTGGAAGCGCGTAACGTGGAACAAAAGTTTTTGATCAAACATATGCTCTCGCCAGACGTAACGTGCAACGACGGATCTCCAGCCGGGTAAATATATTATAACCGACTAACTTGTATTACAAGACACATTGGATTTAAAAACGTATATCTACTCGAGATGTTAATAATTTAAGTCCGGATGTTGAGAGATTTTTCCGGGAGGTAGTGGAGAGCGAGAGTTTAGACTTTGAATCTGAAAAACTGATTAGACGTTTTTAAATTTAATTTTCTTATATGATTAATATTAATATTAATATTAATAACAATAATATATCATAATCTTATAAAATTCTTGCGAATAATGTTCGTTATTTTTTTCTCGTAGGTTTTACTTGCGCCAATCAAACTACAGCAAAACGTGGATAGTATTCCTTGAAGGTGAGCCGCGACGATGAACAACGATTGAAGCAGTGGCGTGGTGAACATTTATAAACCATAACGCACAACACATCTTTTGTTACCTACCCACCCACTTTTTTCCCTAAAATGTCATCATTGACATTTTTTTAAAAATATAAATTAAAAAATACTAAAAATTATTAAATATTGAATTAATTACCTACTTATATTTTGCCAACTCAAATTTCAGATTAACAAAAACTAATAGGTTTTTCCCTCTTTTATGTTGAAATCAACTCAAATTAATTTAAAGAATACAGAATACATTCTTGATTTAATTGTCATGTGTTATATTTTTGACGTGTGTTCCTTTGCATTCGTTTTTCGTGTTGATGATATGTTAAAATTTAGAAATTTGCTAAGTATGTATTCGTCCAAAATCTTTACACATCTAAATCCAATCACACAATACCACTCATCCATACAATTTTTACAGCCTGGACGTCATAAAAACCCTTTCACCACGCTACTGAATTTAAGTCTATAATAATTACAAGGCTGCGCAATACTACAATTTACGAAAATCGATTAACTTTCTATAAATACATTTCACCGATCATCGGTTTTTTAAATATTAATAAATCAACTATTTATATGATGACACCTACATTTAATTTAAATAAAATTTGTATCAAAACTAAACAACTTTTTGTTTTAAATCGTTGGATATGTTTTTAGTATTTTACTATCACCGTCACCCAAGGGCGCCCATAAGAAAATTCTCAAGGGGGGGACAGCATTTTAATTTATCGATCTATTCATAAATAGGAATGACCCACGATATAAGAAGGGGTTTACAATTTTACATTATACTATTACATTATATATATATCAAACCGGAAGACAATAAAATAATAATTATCTAATCAATTTAACATAAAAGTAATTTATTGAAATTTTTATTTAATTAATAATATAAATTGGACACTTAAAACATTAGTTATATTTATTAAAATATTAATTTACAAATATTATATAAATATTATGATTGTGTACACACACACATATACATACCGTATTTCTGGAAATACACAATATTTTAAGAATTGATAATTATCCGTAGAATAGAAACGGAAAAACGTATTGTTATTTATATCTGATAACCTGATTTTGGAAACTAAATAAATAGATTTTTCATAAACAAATTATAGATTTTCATATATTAAATTAAATTTTTAAATTCTATTTAAATAAATATATTCTGATCATAGTAAACAATTTCCAAGATTTTTGACATTTTCCAGGGGAGGTGACATGTCCCTCCCTTGCCACCCCCCATATGGGCGCCCTTGCCGTCACCGGACGAAATAATAAATTAAAGAATTAAAATTAAAATAATTCTTTCTGTTAAAAAACATGACCACATAATGTATAATATTTTAATTCTTATTTAAATCCAATTAAGTACTTATGTGTATTAAACGAACTTTTTTTTTATTTGATTAGAATAACTTTATTCCTTGTTGAGTAAAAATATTTAAAAATAATAACTGAACGGAAAAAGTTACAATCAACAATGTATATCCAAGTAACTTTTACTTGTATATGGCTTATCTAGAATATATTTACCCGACCAGAATAAGTACCTCAACTCGCTTATTAACTGACCTAATTTAATATTTTATTTAATATTGAATTATTTATCTTACATTTTTGCACCATATATCATGTTAAATTTATATTCTGTACTTCCGGGCCACGGCCCATAATGAAAACGAATAAATAAACAAATAAAATCGAGTGACTTGAGCAGCTTTTTGATTTGTAGAGCGCGCATAGCACAATAATTCCTATTGACATTAAAACGTGTTAATGTGTTTTATATTCGTAGAGGGTTGGTGTTGTTATGACAAACAGAGCTGCGACGAAAGATGGTCACGAGCTGAATTCCTTATGTCGTCGAAAGAATGGCCCGAGACGCGATCAGGTTAGGTTAACTAATGATGATACCGTAATACATCATCAACGCGATGGGTTTCATTTGAGCCTTCAAAACTAAACTTGTAATTATCGCTTTTCAGTTGGAGGAATATTGTCCAGCAGTGCGAATGAAAATCCTTACTGGTGGCAGGCCAATCATGTGTGAGTATATCCCGTGATGGCGTAACAATATTATATAAAATACTATACGATCCGAGACGTGCGTGTTGAATAATATTTACACTATATATTAGTTTGGTAAATAATAATATTATTACATGTTAATATTAACTTTAATATTATTAATATTATTATGTTGTACACTAGTATGTGATAAATTTATGTCACTGTTGATGATACGAATCGCAACGAATAACCTATGCACGAATTCAATCCGAGAGAAGTAGGTAACGCACGTTGTACAACGGTTTAGAATTGAAAACCGACGGTCTTAAAGTTCAGAAATAATACCACGAACGTACATTGAGTGGTCACATTTTAATGACTGGGGACGGGGGAGGGTGGTTTAAATTTTCGTTTTGTTGGATTTAATTTTAAATGTACGAGTATAAACGTAGCACGTGTGACGCTTTGGAATATACAGTGAAAAAAAGTTCGTTTTTCGCACCCAAACGTACATTTACAAAAAAGTGATACTCCGCAAACGTGTTAAAACATATTCCGGAGGCTTGGAAAATATCTTAATGGACCGAGTCTCCGTAAGCCCTCTTCTCTCCTCTCCCCCTATCAATGAGATATTATAAGGTACAATCGTTTCGTTACAACTTAGTAATCATCTCCTTTTTTTTATTGTTATTATTTCAGTTTCGTGCCGTACTGCACGAGTGATATATGGTCGGGTCGGAGAGCGGAACCCCAGCACGGGTCGAAATTCACTTTTATGGGCTCCATAGTGATTAAGCAAGTCATCAGAGAACTATTAACCATGGGACTGGCCAATGCCAACGCGCTCATACTCTCTGGAAGCAGGTACATAATAATAATAATAATAATAATAATAATAATAATAATGTACAAATATGTAAGATTATATACTTTTTGTCGGCGATAAATCAGAGTGCGAGTACGACTTTAACGGTTTTATATTTTAAAGTTGCGACTGAGGAAAACCCATAACGTTCCTAAAGGCAGACGTGCCCCCTGTGCACATCGATTTCAGTGGCGTTTAATTATTTTACGATTTCAAAACGTATTTCAACGTCGCTCTGCGATACGTGAACGCGGTACGTTTGTTACGACCACAGTCTCCTGTAACGTGCAATGTAAAATTAACGTAATAACATATGATTACGGTATGCGTTATATATTTTATAGCCGCGCGCCACAACGCGATTTCGAGACAAATTTAAACGTTCAGCTTGGACGCGAAAAATTCACCGCACGAACTGCTCGACAACGGTCAACCCGGTCAAAACAGGTGTTCCGTTTGACCGTATGGACTCGTTCGGGTTTATTTTTATTTGTTTCTACTCCGTTCTCCTCCGAGGGCTCGCGAACGAATTCCCATTTACCGTACACCTACCGCATTGTACTAGACTCGCTGACCTGTTGATAACGTATTGTTCCAGTGCCGGAGGCGTCGGGGTCATGTTGAACATAGATCCTATCCAAAAGATGTTGAGGCAGTACAGCGGCATGTCGGTTCACGGCATCACCGACTCCGGCTGGTTCGTGGAGCAACGGCCGTACGTACAGGAAAGCCAGAGCTTGATCACGCCCGACGCGTCACCCATCGAAGCCGTGAAGCTGGGTATACCCTACTGGCACAGTCAGATACCGTCCCGGTGCCGAAACCTTTACATCGACGAACCGTCCAAGTGTTTCATCGGGCACAAGATTTACCCCACACTGTCCGGTGAGTTGCACATGTCCGCGCGAAATTCCACCCCTATTTCAAATACCTGCGCAGTTAAAAGTGTCCAACGGGAGTGACGCGAACGACGTGACAACCGATCCTTTCATCACTACTATGGTTTCATTTGAACACGGTTCGGGGACGGATGTCATTCTTTTAAAGTTCTGGCTAAATGGTTCTATGGGCGATTCATTTTTTCATTTTTATTATTTTTTTTCCTTTGACCCGTGGCAACTATACATGTTATGTCGGTTGCTAATCAAGATGAAACGCATGAACATAATATAACAGTATGGCTTCGCACGTGATTTCTCGAGTGGTTACCAGTCCAAGAACATAATCATAACTTCGAAAGACGCCTGTTCTGATACAGGGATTATGTCATATACCTGTAGTTATTCTTAGTAATATTTTTCCGATATATCGTTATGATAGCGATTTTTCGACATGAATAAGGTCAAGTGGGGTGGCAGATCATTATTATTAACCTCACAATACTTGCCACTCATAGAATCGTTGTCTTTAGTCATTTCCGAATGTAACACGTATAGTCGTTCGATTATTGCTCTAGTTTTTCTTCTGATACACTCAGTGTACACTAAAATTTAATAAAAATAATATAATAAATCTGTAATTTTATTTTTATTATTAGAAAATATAATTTTCTTTAGGCACGTGAACAATTATCAAAACCTTAAAAGGAAAATTTGGCTTTTGAACCAAAAAAGTTCGCCATCCCTCTAGAGAATACATATTGAACGCATAAATAACATTTGTTATGCATAATAAACATGAATAACATTTTTTTTCTTATACACATTACATTATCTTTTTCCTGAGAGTATTCAAAATTATCGTTGATAATTATTAGGTAATCTGAGTAATTTATAAATAATTTTATTATAAACAAAAACAGTCAGTATATATACCATATACTCTAATGCCGCTTTGTCATTTCTAGTGATCTTATTATATTATCTTATTATCTTATATTATTATTATCTTATTATTCTCACTAGAATTCTAAATAAAAATTATTTGTTTTTCGATGAATAAACGTATAAGCATTGATTATAAAATACTATTATTTATAATCAATGGTCTAAGTATAAAATAGTTAAATATGATCAAAGCTAGTAGTTATAGTACACTAAAAATTGCATTATCAGTAAATAACCAATGGAATTTATTATTTGTCCTTAATATAATTTTTTCTTTACAATTATTCATTTAAAATTGTTAAAAATAATAAAATTACTGAATTTAACTGAAACTACAGGTACCTTTTTGGTAGGGGACCCAGATCTTATAATTTTTAAGAGGGTCTACAAGGATTTTTCCGGTATTCCGATGGGCCAGTACGCGCATGGGCGTATTTTAAGGGTGAGTGAAAGGGCGATTGCCTCCCCCCCTGAATCCGTATTTATGGAATTAATTTTATGAGAGATACACATTTCAAATTTTATAATGTGGATCATTTTATAGCAAAATCAAATTATGCGTAACTGTGAAAACTGAATTGGGATTTTTGTCGGGTCCATACTTAGTGAAAAATAAAATAAAATACAAGTGTAACTTTTAAAACACAGACCGCTGTTAAAAAAGAACTTCACAAAATCGATTCTAAGTGGATCTAGCATTAGATTAAAAAATAACCACATATATAAGGATACACTTGATTTATTACCAACAATTTTACTTATAAATTTTGAGTCTAAATTAAAGAAAAAATTTGAGTCGCCCCCTCCCCCTAAAAGTAAGTCTAAATACGCCCCTGAGTACGCGCCTGTATACGATTAAAAACCGTCGCTAATCGAATTAAGGGGTTTGCGTGAAATCTTTAAGCGTATACAGGCAAGTGACGCGATCGATAAAAAAATCTCTGAAGGAGCAAAAATAAATTATCAACACTGTAGAGTTTATTATTAATTTTTTTTTGCACAAAAAAATAACCGAAATGAGCTTCAAAGAAAGTATTAATCTTTTTTATTTTATTTTTTCCTATTGTATACAAAACTATGCCACATAATTCCGAGCAAAAGTCAGTTATCTTAATTACCATTGTCCTCCGTACACATTAATTTATAAAGCTCGTTAGTTTTCAAAGAAAAAAAACTGGGTGATTTATTTTTTCATTTCAATTTTTTACAAATCGGTATTAACTGAAAAAAAAACCTCCCAGGTATTATTATTGTTCCTTCGGCTCGATCATCTATGACTCTTGGGCTAGAATATACATGATCACGTTCGAAAAAGAAGGGGCAGTATAAGCGCACAATTATATTTTTTTATCAACGAAATATTTACAAAATTTTATTTGATCCCTTGTAGTTCCATTGTTCGTGTTCCAATGGCTATACGACGAGTTTCAACTGAAAAACGACGTCGGCACACCGGTTACCAAACAGCAATGGGACTATATACACAAGATGGGCGAGAGCCTACGCAAGTCTTTGCTGAACGTCACGTAAGTGTCTTTACATTAAACGCATACCGGAGTTACATACTTATGTCTGGTTTTTGTATGCAATAACAACTGCGTTTCTCTCTACGTTCAAAATATTTCCTCTCTCCCTGAAAATGAAAATGACTTTCGCCCACACCTAACCTAGATTATCCATTTATCCATTTTACGGCCCTTTGAATATGATTCAAGTACATTGACAATAATTAGAAAGACAGACAACATTACGTAACAATATACAGGGCCGGCTTTAGAAACGATCGACGCGTGCGTATGCACAGGACGCAAAAATTGGAAGAGCGTGTGAGAGGCATTAAAATTAAAAATTAATTTGATTAAACATTGACGACGTAAATCATCTACTGTTGGTAGAATAATAATTTTCATAATGTAACTTAATATAAATTAACTTAATCATTATTATTATTATTTATTATTTGAATAATTTTGATTATAATGGGTTCTCCAGCTCCTTAAATTTTTGTTTATATGTTTAAATTGTTTAAGAGAAAGGGACGCCAAAGTAATTGTATCGGAGACGCTGAAAAAGCTAAAATCGGCCCTAACAATATATTTAATGTAATACTACTAATAAATATAATTTCACAAAGGAATAAGTAGTACCTAGTAAAAATTTAGCTTACAATAATAGAAAATGATTAAACAATTTGAAAGAAATAACTGTATGCATTTTTATGTCATAACATCATCAAAGAATTCTTTGTCCATTGCGATATAAACATTTGATTGACCTAAAGCTCGAGGGAGAATGTGCAGAGTAACAAGTATAAATCGCACCTGGGTCGGGTCCTTCCGTGGATCCTCCTCTCCACAGCTAAAATATGTAACTCCGGTGGTCACCGCCCACGAGGTGCACACGTTTTCACATTGGCCAAACTTAAACCAACTAATAGCTACTATGTTGTTCGCAAGTAGTGCTAGTCGCACCGGCAGTCTAAGGGAAGTAAGGGTGGGGATGCGGTGATGACGTGGACATCAAAGTACACGACGGGGGTATGAAGTTGGGGGTGTGGTTGTAGATACAAGTGCAACCAGTGGCGGTTTACGGAAGACCTGCAGGCGTTTACCTGTGTAGGTACATACGTTATATATATTCTTGTTTGGTACACGAGCAGGTGGGTGTTCGCTCCGTCGTGCGTGTCGCACACAGTGCTCACGAAGAAGGACTGGAAGAACATCAAGATTGACTCGGTGTCGCTGCCGTATGCGTTACACTGCTGGCAGACGGGGACAAGGTTTACGAAGATCAACGGGGGCAAGTCCAGATCTGTGGGCGGCGGTGGCAGTCGAGTGAGCAGCAATAACAGCCACCACGACAGAGCAGTGACCAGAATCCGAAACAAACATCGGCGTACGGCCGCGGAGAACACGTTGAAGAGAAGACAGAAGACGCGCCGCAACAATAACGACGACGACAGCTACAACAACGGCAATATCAGCGGTCAACAACGGTCCAGAGGTAACAACGATGATAATAATATTCTTTTTTCAGCCATACCTTTATCGCCAACACCGTGTGTATACGCTTTCAATCGGAAAATCCGCGAAAAACACATCGACATAGAAACTCTCATGGAGAAATTTGATATAAGTACCTAATGACTTTTCGACAAAAGTAAAACGCAACTTAACGTACGGTTACTAAAATACAGGGTTACTATATAAGTGTAAGCAGGCGTGAATTGGTTGAAGTAGAGGAAACCATAGATGCGTCTAGGAGGGCGCAAAAGGGTCTTTAACATTCCTGAGTTCAAATTTAGCACCCCTGGTTTTTTTTAGGTCAATATTTAATAATTACAATGAAAACCATACATTTTAATTTCGCCGATTTCAGCACTCCCAATATTTAGGCTCTAGTTGCACCTATGGGGGAACCACAACATTCATGCTCCATTCTTAACTATTTTTTATCATTAATTCGCATGTCTATTGTGAAAGATTTTTCTGTAATTTAACTAACAGGATTGAGAATAGTTCTCTTAACAAAAAAACATAAAAAATGTAATGCTAATAGGTATTTAATTATTGAGACAGACATATTACCCAAAACAAACAATATGTAGCTAATCTAACCTGGTTCTAGGAAAATTTGAGGAAATTAACGGGGAGATAGATTTAATCATGTCAATTCGCGAGTTCGCCACGAAAAGTCAGACACAGTGATACAACCTTTACAGACATCCGCACGATAAATATTATTTCCGTTGTTGGCTCCAAACATAATGTATGTTTTTTATTCTCCGCAGTGATCGATGGAGTTGACAGGGTTCATAGAAAACGTAGACGCCATCACAAGAACCACGCTGGCTGTAAACATCAGTTCATCCAAAGCTGTACTTGGCCGCAGTGCAACCAATCGTGCCCAAAACTTCAGAACCCCGCAACAGGTATGTAATTTTTTTTATTATTCTCAACCCCTAGGTTTCGGTCTACAACTCTATTTAGTTAATTGCTCTCCTATTTAAGTTCCTATAAGTTATTGACTCACGCATCATTTTAAATTTGTCCTCTAAAAGAATTTTGAGGACGCCCTGCAATTGTAATTGTCTTTCCTCCTATTACACTATACGCAACTCTTCTGCGGGTATCTCAGGACATGATGAACCATTTGTTATCAGTGGCAGATCCACAGGGAGAGGGGGTGTTAACCCCCCAAAATCAGGAAAAATATATATTTTAAATTAAGATTTTTTTTTTTTTTCAAGTATGAGGGAAAGTATATAATTTGTATTTTTATTCAAACAAGAAATTAGCAGTCTTAGATTTAAATTAATGTATTATATTACTTACTATTATCTTAATTCATTATCGATCAATAATTGCAATGTAATGAAAAATATGCCAAGAGAAAACATTTTTGTACTTTGATTGATTTTGATTTTCATTATAACTTAATACAAATTTAAATAAAATTATTGCCATTCGGCATGTTCTGAAAAAAATGATTATACAACAAAAAAATAAATAACAACAAAAATTATTTAATATTTGTATTAAGTACTGAAAAACAAAATATTAATTAATAAGTAGGGCTCGGATTTTAAAGCATAATAAATAACAAAAAAAAACACAAAATTGTTTAAAAAAAGCAAAAATGAAGCATATTTATTTTTAAAAACGCAAAAAAAAGCATCACAAAAAGTTAACATAAATTAGTTATAATTTTATAAAACTGAGTAAAAAAAAATTGAAAAATTAATTTAAATTAAAAAAAGAATTTACTACAATGTATTTGGCAAGATTTTCAGAAGTTAAACTAACTCTATTGTCTGACAGGATGTTTTTATATATAGAAAATGACCGCTCTACGGTGCATACTTCGATAACGATGTTATACGATTAGTGAGTACTGAGAGTAGTTTCTACAGGCTATATGCAATAGCCAATAAGCTATCGACTTCTAAGGCTAGGTTCACATGGCGCGCGTTAGCACGCCACAGAACGCGCATATAACCGTTCGGATGGCTGCGTGTCACGCGCGTTGTACGGGAATGTTCTAGTCAAAAACTATACTACTTAGTATAGTTCAAATTGTCATGAAGAATGAATGTGATAGATGCTGTGTGTTTATTGCCCGTCCACCGAAGGATGAGAAGATGCAGACAAATGACGGAAAGGAAATATTGGGTTCATCCTATTTTTAAAACAAGGCTTTTTTTAAGTCTTAGATTATTATTACATTATATTTAGTATTACATTATATCCTAAACTAATAGAGCACCATGACAAATTTTTCAATTACTTTAAAATGTCCATAAAATCATTTAATGACCTAGTGGAGATAATTAAATACTCCTTAGACGCTGATGACAATGTCCCAGATGGCAGGCCTTTTTTTTTATTTCATTAATTAACATATCTATTTCAATTTCCATATTTAAAATAACACTTGTTTTCAAAAACTATAGATGAAAATTCGATCGTTCGCATCGAAACGCGCGTGTCAATTGAACGGTCCGATAATAATACATGATATTTCAATCCGCGGTGTCACGCGCGTGTTCGCGCGGAAATAGAAACTGCGTCGTTATCGCGGTTGATCACACGTGCCATATGAACGATTATTTGCGACCAGTATATCTAAATACGCGCGATCAACTGACGCGTGTGAACGCGCGTCCATGTGAACCTAGCCTAAGCCAGAGGTTCTCAAAGTCAAATGAATCACGGACCCCCACCTAAAGATCTACAATCCTTAAGGACCCCCGGTTGGGTTTCAAGCGTAATTTTTTTTATTTTTCGGAAAACGAGCAAAAAAAAAGATCTTAAAAAAAAAATTGAAAAAGTATAGTATATTATTTCCTTATTTTATTTTGAATTTGATATGAAACACCAGAGATAAAAATATTTATTTTGATTTGTTTTTGCATCAGGACTGGAAATTAAAAAAACGTTTATGTACTCAAATATTTTTATTAACATAAAACATCTTGATAAATATATAAATACTATCAATGGGAAGAATGCATTTGTTTCTTAAGCTTTATAATGTCCAAAGTTTTGGGAACAATTGTTGAAATTTTCAACCTCAATGCTGGTTCAACGTTCTTCAGTCGATTTCTCTTAACACTTTTTATGTTACAAAGTGTAGAAAATGTCTGTTCACACAAATAAGTCGTACAAAAAGGCACAAATTTTTTGAGGGCTTTGTTTGCTAAATCTGTGAATTCCGACCGGACAAGAAACCAAAAATGACATATATCTTTTTCTTCTTTGAAAATTATTTCCCAAGCCCTATTGCAAGATAAATCTACCAGTTGATCTTGCTCATTTTCAGAGAGAATAGTAAGGCTGGCAACATCTTGTTGTTTGAAAGGATCTCTCATCCAGTCACTTTTTTTATCTGGAGCAGGAAAGTACTTCCTCAAAGCACTCGCTAAGTCTATCATATGTTCGACAATCATTTCTTGAACCTCAACAGGTAGATTGCCTTTTGATTTGATTAGAAATTGTTGTAACACAGGCAATGACGTGTAAGACTTTCTTTCAACTCGATTTGCCCACAGCTTTAGTTTTTCAATCATTGCTTCGATTTTGTCTTCTACTATGAATATGTTAGTATCAGGTCCTTGCAGCTTCATGTTCAAAACATTCAAATGTGTAAATAAATCTGCTAAGTACGCAATTTTGCAGAGCCATGAAAAGTCATTAAGTTTTTCTCTTAAGATGAACTTTTTGTGTGTATCATCACAAAGAAATATTCTTACTTCATCAGCTAGTTCAAAAAAACGTGTAAGAACGTTTCCTCGAGAAAGCCAGCGAACCTCTGTGTGTAAAAATAGTTGTTCGTGTTCACTTCCCATTTCCAGACATAGCTTGGTAAAAATGCGAGAGTTCAAGGGCCGAGACTTAATGTAGTTGACAATTTTGACGAGTTCGTCAAATACAGTTTTAAGCTCAGTTGACATTTTCTTCACTGCCAGAGCCTCTCTATGTATTGAACAGTGTGTCCACTTGACGTTTGGCGCTACTTTCATTACCCGAGCCATCAATCCAGTTTTATGACCCGCCATCGCTCCAGCTCCATCAGTAGTTAACCCAACACATTTCTTCCAATCTAGTTCATTTTTTAAAATACAGTCATTAAGAGCTTCAAATACATCATTTGCATTGTTATGTATTACTTCTTTGCAAAATAACAGATCTTCAATGACATATTTTTCGTGTTCGTAACGGACAAAAGCTAGCAAGTGAGATTTATCAGTAAAATCTGTACTCTCGTCTAGTTGTAATGCGAACATTTCCGTAAATTTCAAACGTGAAATTAATTGGGAGTACACATTTTCAGACATATCGTCAACCCTTCTCTTAACTGTGTCGTTTGACAATGAAATCAAACTCATTTCTTTGGCCGCAGTTTCATCTAACATTATGCTACACATACTTTTTGCAGCAGGCATAATAAGCTCCTCTCCTATGTTATAAGGCTTTCCCGACTTAGCAATCAACAGAGATACAGCATATGATGCAATGGTTGCCTTTTCATTTGTAGTGCCAGTTGCAATTTTTTCAATTTTATTTTTTGACTTTTTCATTTCATTGCTTTTTATTTTAAAAAATTCTATTGACTTACCAGAAAACTCGGAGTGTTTTGTTTCTAAATGTCTACGCAACTTAGCAGGTTTCATTGCTTCATTTGAAAGTATTTCGTAACACAAAACACATTGCGGTTTTTGTTCAATGTCTGTACCCGCTTGCACAAATCCCAAGTTTAAATATTCGTCACAATATTTGCGTTTTTTGGCTTTATTAACACTAGCACTAGATTTTGAGCAAGACCGCTTTTCAAAGTTAGGTAGGACAAGGGCTTGTCTGCCACCTTCATTAGATTCAATCGGCACTTCAGTTTCACGTACAGTACCCGTCTTTAACCAACGATCCATAGCTAAAGATTTAAGACCAACACTTACCAACGACGCGACGTAAAACGAACGAGACGGCTGCGATGGGCAAACTAATATTAAATACGAGTACTTTTATTGTATGATACGTATCTACGATTAATGATGAGCGATTAGCCTGCCTTTATGTTTGTTAGTTATCAGTTTTCATCGAGTAAAGGTGTTATACTGGTAAATACAAAATTATACAACTATTAATAGATTAATCGCGTCACACTAGTTGAAAACTACTGGTATAGATTATAGAAAGTGCTTTCGAATACAGAATAACGTTAATTAACAGCAACTTATTTTTGGGTTGTGTTGGGTTCGGGTTAACTCCACGGACCCCCTGATATAGGCTCGCGGACCCCCAGGGGTCCGCGGACCACACTTTGAGAAACTCTGGCCTAAGCTGTGTCTGTAGATCGATAATCTATACGTTTAAGGTCGTTCCACACTAATGGACGGTTACGGTCCGACGATGGGTAAAATATAATATCTATATTTATATTAATTTTATAATTATTATTGCGGGTTTTCACATTTCTTATAAATTATATAAACATTTTTTTCATTACAATAACATAACAAACAAATAAAAATTCTACAGCTTGAATAACTGAAAAAAGCAATAAAAAAAGCAAAAAAAGCATTTATACTATAAAAAGCAAAAATAACTTCTTTTATTTCGAATCAGATTAACGTGAAACGTATTTATTTATAAAAATTAGATTTCTATCTTAAATATATAAAAAGGAACATTTGCTTTAAAATCCGAGCCCTATTAGTAAGCAATTATAATCAAATTATGACTTTATCGATCGGTCATATTACATGTATTACTTTATACGGTGGTCTGTATAATGATGCTCGACATAATATAATTTTATAAAATAAAAATGATTTTAATTCGGTTACGATTTCTCAGGCTATCGTTTGAGTTTTAGGCTACAGTTTTCGAAAAGTATTTTTTTTTTCAAAAACCGCTTGCTTGACGTTTCCATTAAATAGTCAATGGCATAATATATGTTATAGGCGAGGAGATAGACTTCCTGGAGCTTTTACAGTCGTTCGGCGTGGACATACCAAGTCTGTCGTCTGAGCTGGGAATCGACATGGAATCGTTGACACACATGGATCACGGAGAGTTGCTCAACTTACTCACTCAACAGTCAAACTAAGAGAGAACTACTACAACTATACTATATTCATCCTCGTGACCATCACACAAAACCATCGGCGACCCATCAACAGCAGTACAACCCTCCCCCCTTCCCCCAGGAGGACGAACGAGTCAACGCAGTTTCAAAAATGTGTCGCCCACGTTAAATTATTACCAAAAAATAATGTTTGTATGTTTTAAAATTTAGTATACGAAATTGAGTCAATTTTTTTTTATTTTTCTTTAATGTATATAATAGTTATTTGTAAATTTTTTTTTGTTAAGAAACCAAACGTTACTGCTTTAAATAGTACTTCGTTACTCATAAGTACAATTATTCCTTTACGGGGCCAATAAGATTTTTCCAATTCAATACTGTATACCAAACTACCTGTTCCTTAATTTTTAAAAATAGTTTAACACCTAATATTTATGTACTTAAAAATAAGTTGATACGATAATTTAATTGTACATTTAAGAATGCGGTCCTTGAAATGGAACAATACAAACCATTGAATTCAATTTCAATAGTGCATGCTACTGAACTTAATTTTGTGAGCCGCATTCATAACATACTGAACCTAAAAATACTATAGAAATAAGGAATTACTATTTTAGATTCTTTAGGAGTTAAAATTCTTAAATTTTAATTAAGACCAAAAGTAAAAAGGTGAAGTGTTCTAAACAAATGGTTTTTTAAACACTGTTCACTCCTTTAGAAACCGTTTTTAAATAATAAGAATTAAAATTAATAAGGTAAATTATAAATTGATTTGTATAATTTATATAACTACTATCGACTCATGATATAATTATTTGTTCTTATTTGCAATGTGTGTAAAACATATTTTTATGACAAATAAACAAAACTATTTAATGTAATGATTGAAAAAACACTATTTTTAACATTATTATCTATAAAAATAATAATATATACATTATATGCAAATATTTATTTATGTGTGTGTGCATGGCATGTAATGAAAACAATTTCCGTACAAATTTTATAATATAAATAAAAAACTCTGTCTAGTTACAGCAGTAGTCTTAAATATTTATTATTTTTATTTTTTATTTAAATGTACTAGAAATACAAGTCAATTACCATTTTCAAAACCATACTGATGAAAATCTTTGAACATAACATTAAAGTTTACCCACACAGATCCTTGACTTCTGACTCTTGTAACTGAAAACAAATAAAAATAGGGTAACAATTGTTTCACATTAAACAATAGTGAAATGATGAATTTAAATAAAACATATCATTTAATAATGAAATATTGTGAGAAAAAATGTAATACATTAAAACAAACAAATTTTATACCTTCTCTGCCATCACCTCTAGCTAATAATCGTGCATCCACATACTCCGGTCTTCTCCCAGTAAACCAAGAAGTCATTTTTTGTAACAATGAACTAGATTCAGGTACAAACATAGTCATTCTGTGAATTACAATTGTTTTAGTCAAATTTAATAATGCAAAATTGATAAAAGTTAAAGATTATAATGTTCTCAGTTTTATAACATAATTAACTATGAATTCTGTGCATTATAACTATTATTTACAGAAGCTCTTAAGCCTATTATCCCTTTTACATTTAAATATGACAAAATCTAATACATTTAACAACTCTTCTCAAAATGACTGTTCTCAGATAAATACTGTGTCATTCAAACCTAATTTAAAGATAATTTGTCGGTTAAATACATTTTTTAATTATTAAAATTGACTTTTAATCCAGTTTACATAAGCAATAATATATTTATTTTTGTTAATATTAAACTTTATACTCTACATCAGCGTTTTTTAAACTGTGTTCCCCAAATATCACTTCAGAGTTCCATGAAGCTTAAGTAATTTTTTATAATTTTTTAAGAAAATTACTTTAAAATTTTCAACTAAAGATTAGTAATGGTGAAAAAATGTTTGCATTATAGAAAAAAAAAATCTTTGTATATTAAATAACAATGTATAAGCTATGGAATAGTCAAAATTTATATTTTATCTAATTAAAGTAATTATTATTAAAGTATTATTATATGTGTATACAATTATTATAATTTTTATTTTTATTTTAACATATTTTTTGAACTAAATACCTTTAACACAATATAATTATATGATTATAATGTATTTACAAATAATCTTAAAAAAAACTAAAAAGTTAAAAAAAAAAGGGGGGTTCCACGATAAATGTGGACATCAAAAAGGGTTTCACGGATAAATAGTTTAAGAAACTCTATTTTACATTATCTAGGGCAATAACATTGACCTATCTATTGGATAATATGTTCATAATATGTTTATTGATCGCTAGAGAATGAACCCATTTAAAAAAGACTTACAGAAATTAAAAATACTAACTTTTCAGAAGATTCTCCAATAACTATTGGAAGATGGCAAACTCCATAACCTCTTACAACATCATTTCCAAAAGTATCCAATCCATAAACACTGATGATGAGTTGTGGCCCTAGACAACAAATTTGATATATTTTCAAAGAATAGGTACAACAAAGATAATTCATTTGTTTTTGCAATAAACTGAACTAATCCACAAGTGCTTAAATTAGTTTTAATAAAAAAGCTCTGAAATTTTATGAAGATATTTTAATTTTAACTAACATATTATTAAGTGAATTATAATTATACAATTAAAAAATAATGACTAACTTTGCAAAGGCAATATATTTAATTGATTTTAATAACAAATTAATTATTATATATTAACCAGGACTTTAAGGATACTCAATATTTTTCTTAGTATTATTTCCATAATCAAATATGTTAGTTACTTTCTTAAATGTACTTATTGCCAGTGAATGGTAATGTTTGTTTAATGGAAGTAGGATAATTGATTTAAACATTTTAACTAATGGCCAATAAAAATTTCAATAATTATAACCAATAGTTGAACTCATTTATTTTACTTAAACTCTTAAGTGGAATATTATTATTCTAACATAACTAATAAATACAAACAATAAATGTCAACGATAAACCCATTTGATAAAATGATCACTCTACAGTATTCACAGTATGTGCATAGAATATATTCAATAAATTAATTATGATCATGGACATTTAATATCAACAATTGCATTTCAAATGGATTAAATTTCAAAATGTGCAGAGTGCAAAACAACAGTGCATTGACAATAAAATATATTGCAACTGAAACAGGTGCCGAAGAAAGGTAAAATGGAACTCAATAATAATAATAGTTAAAATTAATATACACTTTTAACGTACAACCGTGTGGATTGGTACTTTTAAAAGAAATGTCTAACGGAAAGTTCCATACAACCATTTGCCTTTCATCTTGAGTCTTCTGAGCTATTTGTGATATACCCTCTTCGATGCCCTGTTGTCTCACGTTACACAAATACACATTAAGGACGACGATGAGAACAAAAAGAAAATTAAAAACGATATCTGTAAACACCTGATGAGGCGAGTACACTTACGGTGACGATTTCCCAATCGGGTCCATAGACAAACGTATACTTGCAGTACATGTTGTCGAAGTTCGGGAAGTGAGCCTTTTCGATTTGACCGACAACTGAGACCAGGAATACTCCGCTGGTGGTTTCATTGCCGGACATCACTGATGTTTACGAACGAATTCAAAGGCAAGCAAAAGGGAAAGAGACGAATAATGAAGCTAACAGAAGTGTTCAATGCGATTTAAATCTCAACTCCAACGTCTAACGACAAGGATAGCGCAAACACGGTGGCGTTATCAGTCGTTACTATACTTAAACAGTGTGACCAAATGCGCACGGCAAAAAGTAGACATACACACAACGGTAGCTACGAGTTTCCCATCCCATCCTTTTCCATCGACTTCAAAACTAATTATCGGAAATTTAGATGTTAAATATGAAGATGAATGTTAAGGCTCACGAACCATTACCGTTCTCGATTATAGAAGTGTTCCGATGTCAGCCACAACTGCGGTACCTATGTATTCTGTAACTTCTTTTAAACAACTAATGACATGAACCACATGAAAACCACATCCACCCCTATGTACTAGCATTATTTAAATTTCCGTCTACGTAACAAGTAATTCAAATATCACACCTATGCTTTCAAAGCCAACAACTTCTAGTATTAAGTACTCTAACATGAAGCGGCGACCTTAAGATTAAAACACAATATTTACCGAATAATACCAATGTAATATATTTTCATTAAATCACTTAAGTTCAATATTTATTACAATACATTATATACTCCACTATCAATAATTAAGTAAAATAATAAGTATCAATGGTCAAAACTTGGAAACTAATATAGTAAGGTTTTTTTCAGTTAAATAAAAATATTGTGACAGAAAAATTTTACCCGCTAATATAACGATTTTTTAAACACTTGTTTAATTATATAAGAATAAAAAATATTTTAAAAACATTGGTAGTAGCTGTATTAAAAATTTAAGTAAATTTAACTTATTTACAAGATATAATAATCATTTAATTAGTCACTCACAATTCAGTCATTAGATAAAACATATGTATTCAATACAAATTAGAAAAACAAATTAAAGGATATATTATTTGGTATAATATACCTTAATTCCAATGATCAAAGCACTTGTGTTACAGAATACATCTGGAGTTTTAAAAATATTTTTGTCTAAATAAAGTACTAATTTACCTTTAACTGTACATATACATTTATAAAAGAGCAAAACTATCGTCTCTGATATGGATGATTCCGAATTTGTCTGTTTGGTTGGTACTGAGGGGGTGGTAGAGGTCTGTTACTTCTGTTATTGAAACCTCGTTTGTTTGGATTATTTCCTCTAAATGGTTGATAAGCTGGATCCGAATAATGTTGATTACCACCATCAACATAATGTGGAATATTTTCAGTATAATGTTGACTGCCATCAACAAAATGCTGAGATCCATTACCATAAGTTCCAGCAACATAAGCTGCTTCTCGATTGAATGCTCGACTTTCATTATATTTTTGCCTGCTTTCTTCATAAGAATCTTGCATTTCATACTCATTGAATTGCTTCGATGTTTGTGATTGTTGCTGTGATATGTTTTCTCGCTGATTATAATTTTCTCCATAAGGTGCTCTTGGAGGTACTGATTCACCCATAAATGGTACACCCATAGAAGCAATAGCTTCACGAGGCCGATATTGCCCAGGCACCGCAGGTATCATATTTGGAGGCTGAGAAAACATAGAGTTTGTAAATGGTTGAGCTGCATGTGGAGGATAAGGATACATGGGAAAACCAGCAGGTGGTATTGGTGGAGGTGGTTGCATAGGTGGTGGTGGCATCTGAGTGACACTTGGTGGCAATAGCATTTGATTTGGCACAGGCGGAGGAGGTGGAAGATTTGGGGGAGGTGGTGGTGGAGGCATTGTAGGTAATGGTGGTCTTGTTAATGGAAGTGGGGGTCGTTTTAAGGGTGGCTGTGGTAATAACATTTTTGGTGGTGTAGGAGGTGGTGGCAAAAATGGTTTTGGCGCATTTTGTAATTTTGGTGGAATAACAGAATTTGATGGTTGTTTAATTCCTGGTGGCATGGGTAATAATTGCTTGACTGATGAAGCATTTGGCGAAGTTAACATTTTCACGTTTTTTGTAATAGCTGCTTGCATTGCTTGATCAGGAGTAAACACTACAATAAAATAATGAAACAAATAGTACTACTAAATAAAACCACTAACACTATAATGTTTAAAAAAAAGCCTGCATCACAAAAAAAATTAACACATAAATTCTACACTCACTGTACTTAGCAGCCATTTTTTGCAATAATAATTTCTGATAAATGGATTGTGGTGGTATAATTTTTTTGGGTACTACAAATTTATCTTGAGTAGGAGGAGATGGTGGTGCATTTTTGTCTGGAGTTGAATAAAGGTCTAAAACTTGATGACAGATATCTATAAAAAAATAAAATAATAATTTAGTTAATACTTATTTGATACTATAAATTCAATTTATTTCAATATTATAAATATAAATTTATTTTACTGTTAATTCTAAAGAAATAAATATAACTTGCTTTCTTATTGATGACAAATCTGATTAAATATTAATAAATCATATTTAATTAAATAGATAATTTTTCATCCCACTCATATTAGGATTTTTGTAGATATGCTATTAAGTTTTTTACAAAATGTAAATATTATTGACAGAACCTTAAATTACAAATATACAATTTTTTTTTTTTTAAAAAAAAAACTATTTTAATCTACAGATTATATTTTATTTACCTATACTAACACATACTAACACAATTAAAATAAGTATCACATAAAAAACTACTCTTTCTTGTGGTTTTTTATTGATTAAATTTAAATTATATATTTATTATTTAAATACTTGGATTTCTAAATTATCAAATAAATCTTGTAAGTTTTATTACTTACTCATAAAAAAATTAACTTCAATTAAAATAGCAATTAGAATTTAAATTTTTAAAAAAAGCTTAAGTAATTAAATATTTGTTTTCAAAAATAAAAAAAACTAATTAAAATAACTTTAATGCAATATTTACCACATTTCTATATTAAAATACAAAAAATATAATTAAAAATAAAAATAAATAGCTATCTATTTATAAATAAATTTATACAGACAATTTATTAAATCTATACTTAAATAATTGTTATACCTTAATATTACATAATCAATAATAAAAGTAAATTACAGCAGTATAATTGTTTCTTTAAATAAATTATAATTTAACATTTAAAGACTAATTTATCAGTTTTACTTAAATATTATTCTTTAATTTCATTGAAATGAAATTAATAAGCAAAAATATATTTTTAAACATTCCAATTATTTTTATTAATTAAAATACATTAAACTCATTAATTATCATTAATATTTTCTTAAATAAATACTATTGTACATTTATTAAATAATAAATTGGAAAAAAACAAAATTTGTATTTTAATAAAAAAATATATCTAACCTTCAAGCAAATCCATATTCATTCCTTGCACAAACATATCCCACCAACGCAAATGATTTGGCATACGACCCTGCCAATCATTGAGCTCAAATTTACTCAATTTACATGCTAAATGTATTAATGAAACTGCAATTATTTCTGGTTCCCACTGAAGACAAAGTGTTGTACATAAACTGCAATGTTAATAAAAAAAATAATAAATTATTACAATTTGACTATTTGAACAATCAGAGATGGATTACCAACTGTACATAATATAATAAAATAAAAATGTAATGTATAATTTGTTTAAAATACCATTTTTGGGTAAATTAAAAAAAAAAAAAATTAAAAAAAATCCAATCCATCTCTCAAAAAAATTATACAATTTTACCTATCATTCACAAATGTCCAAGCCATTTGAACCATTTTAGTGAGTTTAGCCTTATCACCTGACAAATAAAAATAAAATAAAAAAATAAAACATAAAGCCTTTAAAACTAAATTTAGAAACTAAATATAACTAACCTTTTAGACATTTAGCATACTTTAATAAAAACTGATATGGATGATCAACTTGCAGATCAAATTTAATTGTTTGTAACAAAATACGTTCAAGCACCATTACTTCTTCCTAAAATTGAAAAACATTTTAATGAAAAATCAAGAAAATTAGCTTATTTAGATATAAACCATGTAAAAATGAACAACTTACCTTTGGATCTAGTCCGAGGGTTTCATATTTATCATCAGGTAATAGTGCTTTAGCTATCTTTATTATGTCTTTACATTTTTTTGGCGTTTCTTCTACTTTACCCGCAAGAAACAAACAACAACAAGCTGTAAGCTGAAAAAACAATTATAATAAATCTTTAGCTATTATACCAAGTAAATCATTTATAAAATTATTTTTAAAATCAAAGAAGTAAACATATTAAAAAAAAAATAATTATATTATGTTAAAAAAAATGTATACCATGAAACTCCCAAAGGTATGCCATGAAATATTATAATTAGGGCTCGAAAGTTGGTGCAAAAATTAACAGTCGGTTAATGCTCGTTTGCGTCTCCCAATTACTTCGGTGGACATGAAGAGAAGTTCTTCCAAATATAAATATTTATAAATAAATAATCGTCGCTCATTTACTTTGGATAATATCAAATACTCTCTAATTGTACAAAGCGATGATTTTGATTTTTAAGTAATTTGTAAGCTTTGATAAATTTATAAAACAACTATTTGTAATTTTTTTATTTCATATTTTAAGGACATCTGTTGTCATTTTTATATCATATTTTAAGTAATTTAAAAGTTTTAATAAATTTATACAGAATGTTAAAGTAATGTAAAGTAAAATATTTAAAAAAGTGTTTTTATTAATTTAAAACCAATATTTGTAAAAATTTTAGGTCATTTTTTAATGTTTTTTAAAGTTATCAATTTCCGAGCCCTAGTCATAATAATTAATAATAAACGTTTTACAAATATTGATTATATGAGAGTAATATTTTCTCTTTAAATCTCTGGATGCATCTAATGAACTAGATCAAAAATGCTGATACCAACTCTGTTTATAAGACTGTATAGCTTAATATAAATGAAGAAAGTAAATTAATCAATATTAGACTGTGTTATAAAGCTACAGTAATCTAAATTAGTTGAATATACAGCAGCTGAATTAAAATTGAAAATAATCAAAATAAATGTAGATGTGTTATTTTGTTATATACATCTATTAAATGAGTATACTAAGATTCTAAGAAAAACTATGAATACAGTAGTGATATTTTTTATATGCTATATTTTTAAAGCTTCATTCAATGAGTACCATTAAAATCAAAAATGTATCACGACTGAAGAATTTGAAATATATGAAGGTGTATTAGTCAACCATTCGGCCCATAAGGAATCTCATAAAGAAAGATAACTTAGCCTAAATTTTTATAATGCAAATGTGAAGTATATGTTTTTCTACATCAATAAATTTAATGTTTACAATAAATTAAAATGATTTTACAAGAGTTTATCTAACCTAAATAAACAAACAGTTATTCACTAGTATTTTACTAATACATAATTACTATAATGATAATATAATAAAAACCTAATATAAAAATATATAAGTCAATATCAAATATGCCACAGCTAATTATACAGGTAGGAATTAATATACCTTAAAGGCAAATTATTGGGAAAAGTTAAAGTAGTTAATAATAATTATAATTAATGAAATACATTTATAATAAATTTAATAGTTCAGGGATCAATTCAAAATTCAACATGTTGTATCTAAAAATTTAGTGAATACAACTTTAAGAGAAAATTATACCACAGAATAAAAACATTTAAACATTTTTTTTTTCTTTTTCTTTACTTATAAAAATGTCATAAAATATTTTTATACTATTAAATTGAAAAATTAAATGAAATACAAAAATTGAAAACAGTTAAAAATAGTATCATTGAGATCAGAAACTTAAAAAATAGTAATGACAAATAGACTGTTTGCACTAAAATAATACTGCATATTTTAGTGATAGAATATATTAACATTAGAAGAAACTAAAAGATAATGATCAGTATTTAAAGCAAACTAAATAAATAATAGTGTTGCAAGTAATAACTGTTTGACTGTTTACTGAAGTATGTAGGTACAGTACAACAGAGACTGACCAAAACTTACATATCTAGGAAATGTCTTGAAAGAATGGTACATATAAAAACGATGAAAATAAACAACACCGGTAGCCATTGTATTATAACCCAAGTCCATTTTGGTACCAGCGTCAATGATGAACCTTGCTCCTTCTTGACGGTAACGAGACTCTATCTCGTGTGGTATACTGTCCTGAGCTGAAGCGGTGCGATGTAATTCATCTTTGTCGAAATACCAAAAGGCCATGGTCGGTGTGCTGGAGTCTGCGAAAAAGAGAAAAGACGTTTTTTCATAAGTAAAAAATTAAGAAAATTTAAGTAAAATAAACCGTGGGTTCGTTTTACTTACCAGTCATGAGAAATCATTAAAATTTAACCACAGATTATATGAAAAATATAAAATAAGAAAAAATTAAAAATCGTCTATCAGTCATCGTTAGTAAGCATATAGGTGTAATATGATGTAGCACCGACGTACCGCATCCCTGCCTGTGTGTGTGTGTGTGTGATCATTTCATTTAAAACAAAACATAAGCGTTACAAACTTCATACTGGTAAGCGATAGTGTGTGTCTACATTTATCGTCATGAAGATAGTTACGGTATGCCGAAATTGCGGTGGAAAGCCTACCATTGAACTGTTGAATGCCGATTGTTTGATAGCCCACTGTTCGCCCGTTTCCGTGACTGAATATCTGTAATCAATTACAAATGTTTTTTTGATTGCGTTCCGACCACAGTGGCTTACGGACATTTCCCCTCTCTGTTCTGAGACACCTTTCCACCTATGAGTTACGCTATTATTTTATTTCCATATACATAATCTCGATATGTACAGAATTGTATCGATTATAATTTTTAGTCTTTATTTATTCGTAAATTATAATCGGTTATAACCGATATTTAAAATATAATTGGTTATTTATACATAAATTATAATCGATAATAATCGGTACATCAATCATTATCAATTATAATATATAACATTTTACAATTATAATCCATGAATCCATCTGTAACAACTGATTATTTGATAATTTTACTAATAGGAATGTATATATTAAGGAAAACGAATAAAAAATTCTTACATTTTTCTTGTGAAAGGAAACCGGTGCAACACAATTGCGGACGATTGATTACCTTTTTATATTTGAGAAAAAAGAACACGATTGCGCCCCTTAAATATTTTTTCTTTGAGCACACACAAATATTTAAATTAATTCACCAACATTAATAATAATTTAATGCGTATAGTAAAAAGAAAATAGATGTATATACATCACAGTAACTCAGTAGCGCAATCAGGAATTTTTCATGGGGGGGGTCTGACAAAATAAACTAATATACAAATAATAAAAAATTATAATATATATATATCTAGAATATGATATTAATATACTATTATACGTACCAAGGAGAGGGGAGGGGGGTCCAGACCCGGAGTCCACCCCCCTGGTTGCGCCACTGCAGTAACTTATTATTAAGCGCCAAAAAAAATAAAATATAACAAAAATCAAGTTCTTATAACTTTTTAACACAAAAATGTGATACTAATGTCAGAAAATAATTATTTAAAGATATATCATTATTTTTTTACTTTATCCAAGTATTTATTGTAAATGCAATATTCTCTTCTTCCACTTTACTAGGCTTGTTAATATTTTGTTGTTTTATACTATATATTTTATTAAAAAAATTGTACAAAATAAAACCGGAATATACACGTTGTACAATATAGTATAACGTTTAGCAGTGGCGCACGCAGGAGGGGTTATGCAGTGGCGTAGACATGATTTCTGAAAGGGGGGGATCAAAAAAAGAAAACGACATAACTAAATGGGATGGAAAAATTGAAAAAATCTCCCATCCTCTCAAATTTTTTTTACTATTTTATAATTTTTTAAAAATTTTTAGATAGTAAAATATTTAACAATAGGAACAATCTGACGTCTGACGGCACTGCTATTTTTGTAAATGTGGGTACAATTATAAACTATATTTCTCCACGAATCCATGATAGGTTCAATAAATTATCAATTATCCCGTGAATTTCTTTTTTTTTTAGGTTTCAGATAAATAAATAGAATGTACTATGTATACGCGGTGAACTAAATCCGTAACGATAATGATCTCATTCTCTTTTCTCATAACAACGATAGTATCCGATAATATTTTAAAGCCCAGGTTACATACATATTGTTATATACATAGTATTGTCTCTATAAATTATAAGATAAGCTATAATAAAGTATAATCATAGTCATCATTGGCATTTCGACCAAAATACCAAATAAACATTACTTTGCTATAAACGAAAATAAAATTATAATGGTTTTCAGTGTTGACTAAATTGTCAAAATTCAATAGCTCGATAGATTCACATCACAAAATATTTTTTTATAGTGCATACTATTTAATATAAAGAAAAACAAAAAATAATTAAATAATAAAAAGCTAATGGGGGGGATTTGACCCCCAAGTCCCCCCCTTGTATACGCCACTGGGGTTATGGGGTTGTAACCCCTCCGCGAAATTTTCTCCGATGTCTAGGTTAAAATTTACAAATTTTACAAGTTTGAAATATGAAGAGCTAGTATTGAATACCTAGTATCATTGATTATAGAATAGTCTATTCTATTATCAATGCTATTATTTAAGTCAAAATATATTAAGGATTTGCATAATTTTGTTAATTGTTAAATGTGTTATATTTTTATCTGGACCCACCCCCTCCCCCCGAAAAAAAAATCCTGTGTGCGCCACTGACGTTTAGATAATATGACGTGATATTAAAGGCCGGTTCACATACAACGACTTATTGTACGTTTTATCGAACACGATTAATCGTATCAAGTAAAACGGAGCGTGTATACAGTAAATCGTACGTCTTATCGAATCGAAATGAAATCCATGATTAGATCGAAAGACTGGTGGGCCCAAAGTTAAACTACATGTCGTCAATGACGTATTTGAGGGGGGGAGGGAAATTCCCCCTCGAGAATTTTCAAACCAAAACAATTTTTATATATGTAATGGGTATTTTATTAAGAAACAAAAATTATGATTTATTTTATAGTATTACTACATTTGAAAACGTATTAAATTTTACACTAATTTAAATAACGCAAAACGCTAAATTTTTCATAACGTTTTAATTGTCAATAACGGTAAACGGAAAATTTTTTAAACGTTTAAATTTGTATAACGTTTAAACGCTTAAATTGAATAACGTATAAATTATTTATAGCATTAAACGTTCAATTGCTTATAACGCTTGTATGTCCCATAACGATAAATAATATATATTATTTTGATTGAAGACCCAGTCCGTACCTAATGAAAAATTAGATAAAATACAAGTAAAACTTTCAAAACACAGATAGGTGTTAAAAAAGAACTACACAAAAGACCATTCTAAGTGGATCACGCATTAGATTAAAAAAAAAAAAAACCACAAAAATTAAGGATTCACCTGATATAAATATTACCAAAAATTTTACTTGTAAATTTTGAGTGTGAATTAAAAAAAAATTTGAGTCACCCCTCCCCCCCTAGAAGTAAGTCTAAATACACCCCTGCATGTCGTTACATGTAAATACAAACTTGAAGCATAGTTAACGTGACAATACGTCCAACTGTCCCCAAAGAACCTAAAAATGTCCCACTTTAAGAAAAGTTGACTTGTGGTAGGTATTTATTAATCACAAACCACCATAAATTTATACTGTATACAGTAGGGGCGACCAAACGGTCGATCGCGGACGATTTCAGAGTCGATCATATTAGAATTTATTTTTAGGCCACGTGCACGAAAATCAATCGTGGTGGTTATGAATAAATTGTCGATAAGTTTTATCTATATAGTTTTTATCTTTTATTCTGGTTTATAAAAAAATTTTCCAAGAAAGTCGATCTTCAAAGGTGAAGTATATTTTTAGTAGATCGTGACTGAAAAAAGTTTGGCCGCCTCTGAAATAGAGTGTACACTCTACGAATACCTACATATTATATACGTATACTGTGAAACATTTAAAACCCTTAGTCCAAAGATAAAAATGATACAAAAATAAGTAGGTACCTACCTAATTGTAGCTAATTATTGTTATCGCTGCCACTGCATCGATTGCGGGAATTGGCAATAAAGTGAGTTGTAAACTAATATAATCAGTGGCGTACATAGGGGGGGACCGGATTCAAACCCCCCAGGGCCAAAAAAAAAAAATTGTTTTATTATTGATGACGTGTAATATACTCGTAGTTTCATTATTATACTTTAAACTTAAAATATATAACCATACAAATATTATGATAATAATATTAAATTATATAAATATATATTATTATATTATATAAATTAAATAATTATATTGATAGGTGTTTGAAAAGTTTTGTTTTGTTATTATGTTGTTTTTATATTCCAATAGCTATTAATTTACTGTAATGTAAAAGTAAACTATAAATTGGTAAAAAAGTTGTATTAAATAATATCTATTTATATTAGTTATTTATCTGATTTATCTGTGCAACGAAAAAAAAAAAGAGAAGATTATTTTTGTTAAACGCCCCCAGAACAAGATTGAATGTACGCCACTAAATATAACTATATTAATATAAATAATAACAATTGTATAAATAAATGCTCTACAAATAACAAATTGTTTTCTGTATAAAAAATATAACTGTCCAGAAATTAGTAAGAACTAGTTTCTTGTTCATAATATATTCTATGTATTGATAAAATACTGCCTACAATATGCTCTGTACATAATGTTTCATGTTAGAATTTATAATAGGATAATACATGAATAATACACATTGCCTAATTCTATTATTAAAACAAACAACTATTTTAGAAATCTGGATGGTTCATTTATTAATTTTGGTCATAATTATAAATCATTTAATAGTATTACGCATTATCCTCATTGACATAATCTATTATTCATGTGCCATTTTATTATGTTAAATAATAACTAAATAATAGCAAGTATAGTTTAATATGTTAGTTAATGATTAGTTTTAAAAAAAATATGAACCATTAGATACTTCAACAATACAATAAATGTAACCACAATTTCGAGTACAGAATAATTTTAATTTATTGAAGTTAAAACAAACTTTGAAAAATATCAACACAAAAAAAAAATTAAGATTACTATTAACTCATTATATTGTGGGTCTTAAAAATAATTCAAACATTAGTAGTCACTCAAATTAAAAAAAAAAAGATAAAATAAGAAACAATAAATAATTCTAATCATATCACTACCCAGTCTCACTCGTGTACATACAAATGCTAGATTATTGATAAATCTTTATAATTGTTAAGCATTCAGATATTGTTTTCCAATTGCAGTAATATAAATAGTTTAAAAAAAAATCATAACAAAATGAGATCTAATACAAAGTTTACAGCCTTTCAAATTAATACTTAAATAAAATAAAATATTAAGAACTTTAAGATTTACTTATGTATTAGCTGTAATTTTTGCTTTTAAATTTAAATTAATTATGAAAAAAAATTATACAAAATCAAATTAACTAAAGTTAAAATAAATATAAAATATAAAATACAAAACAAAGTCTTTGAAAACAGGTAACTTTTGACTCTACTGCTATTAAAAAGAACCCAATACTATAAGCAATGCTTATGGAAAACATTAATTATTGTTTTAATACTACAATTACTATTATGGTTATAATTATTATTATTAAAATTATTAATATAATTATTATTCTTATTTTTATTAAGATAGCACAGACAAGCATCAAGATAGGTACTTATAGACTGATTTTCCATGAAGACTATTATATGTCACGAGGAGACGTTAAGCAACACTGAGAACTGTAACACACAAAAAAACAATATTAATAACAATAATATATAATTGTACAAAAATAAGAAAAAATCATGATTAGAGCTCTTACTTTTAGTGATGCAAAGGATATTAATTGCTATTTATCAATATCAGATTCTTGACTGGCAGAGAAAGTGCCTTTTCCCAAGCATCCCTCAATAAGAGAGATGCATTCTTTAGACATGATGTAAGGACGTAAACGTGGAGAAGCAAAAATGAATTTACGGCATTCATTATTAGCAATAATAACAAGCACCTCACTATTAGGGGCACTTGATAACTCATAAGCCTATATTAACAAGTTTTACATAATATTAATTATAAAAATATACTAGAGTTTAAAATTGATGTAAAGAAAAATAAAATCATAAAAAGCAGACTTTCAATACACTTAACAATAATTTCTCCAATTAAATTAAGTTAAACCCTTGTTTATATGTCATTAATTCTTATCTTTGGAATTTACTGTTAACATTTTACTATTTTAATATCTTATGCTTTGATATATTGATTAACCTAATAAATTAACCTAACATTAAATAAATAATCAACATACTTTATGACAGTTTAATTGTTAATAAATGTTTAATATTGAAACATGAGCATATAATAAATCAACATAGATTTCATAATACTTACATTGTCTTCAACCAAATCAATATAACGTTCAAATTCTGTTGAAACAAAATCATTTGCTACAGTGCAGTCTAAAGCAGGGCGGTAAAGTGGTGGTCGATTCATCATTGAAGTAAAATGACAAAGCTCAGTAGTCACAATAAATTGTTCGAGTTTATGTGTGCCAAGTAATGTTGTACCTTCTGCATGCGAAAACATCATTAATACAACATCCATACAATGATCTGCGGAAAGGTTCCAGACCTAAAAAAAATATCAATATTATTAATTTAAACTAATTAAATCAAAAAAATACTTAACTCTAGGTCATTGTTTGATAGGAAAATTTAAGAAAATTATGGTTTTCATATTATTGATTATATTAAAATGTTATTATAAAATGGATGGTACAATCTGTAACAATCGAGTTAAATTCACAGAACATTGTTAAGTAGTAAAATTTTTAATATAGTTAGTTATATGTTTGTGAAAAAAGATTCTAATCTCTATATTACCCTTATCAGTAATTAAGTATTTTTTATTTTATAAAAATAATATTGATCGTTCGTATTTTTTTCGCGATATAATAAACATTTCATCCTAAACCCTTTTAAATCTTCTAAAATCTATCGTAATTACTCAGCGTCTAATGTTCAATGTGTGCTCGTGACACACTAATATTATTATTAAAGACGTAATTTGGACTCGACGACATTGTTGTTTTGGGGCCTACCTGTTACAGAACAGATCGAGCGGAGTGCGCGCGTCAGACACAGGAACAGGGAGAGGATGCGTGTACGAGATTCGAGGCTATATGAAATGGTACGTGCACGCAGCATAAGAGAACAGACACGGACGCAAGTTTTTATTTTTTCTTCTTTACCTTTTTAAACAGTTCGTCCTTGTTTACGGTTTCCGAAATAGTTTTCAGCTTCATTTCAACACGGCGCACATAAGCCACGGACCGGTGTTCACGAGATGGATAGGTGGTATATGCTTGTGTTTGTATTAATTATTATTATTATTATTATTATCGTCGTTTTAGTGAACTCGTTTTTTGTCAACCCGAAAAGCGCGAAGGCGGCAGCACTGCTGATGCACGGTAAATGAACACGGACTACGTTGACTGAGTGGCAGCGGCGTCGACGGAGACTGACAGTGGTAGCAGCGCCGGCAGTGGTACTTTTAAACAATTCGATTTTTGAAACTCCTTCACTCTTTCTCTTTCCCTTTATCGCCAACGAAGTGCGCTGGTCGATGGGTGGCAGTGATGGTAGTGGTTGTCGTCGTCATCCCTTCCACGATCGTCCACCCTGTCAAACGGCTGGAAACTCACCACGGATCGGTGCGTTACAGTGTTAACAAACCGACCGGCCTGAAAATACTTTTTCTCTTCTCACCGAAACCGGCAAAATTCATTTGAGATTGAAAGTTTTTCCGTTATTCTTGAATTTGATAGCTTAAAATACATTCAACAATTGTTTTCAGAACTGCTGTAGATATGTACAATTCAACACTGTAGATTAATAGATTTATTATTTCAAGAAGAGAGTTACTTATTTTTTAATACTTAGGTTAAACTATTCCCTTTGCAACATTGCAACAAATATTTTTTAGCATTTTATACATTTTTTGCTTAAACTTAATATTAGCACAACTCAAAAGGAAGGTGAATTCCTATCAATAATCATTCCGTTATATTGGTGTTATGATAAAGTTTTAATTGAAAGTAATAAACTACAATAATTATTTGGTCAAATTGGTTATATTGACCGCCGGTACTTAAGGTAGCTTAATCTGAATAATATAAATACAATTTTAAAACTTTAATAAATGTCAAAGTCATGTCTACAAATATTTCTTTACGAAAAAATATATGACTTGGATTTATTTTTTTTTTTTTTTTATTGTATAAGTTTCAATCATTTGCAATAAAAATGTAAAAAAAAAAAAAATTGGACTGTTAAATTTAGTTAACAGTATTATAGCGTTATCTTTTATAAAAATATCGAGTTGAGAGTTCATTAGGACTTCATTCAGCCAACCTTAAAGGGATCTTCAACTAGTAAATCTTAACTTCCCAATACGGAAAAATATATAAGCAAATATAAAAACTTATTTATTATAAAAACAGTGAGATTTACCATTTTACTCTCCTACGCCTACAAATTACATTTAAATAACTTCCCTTTATGTTCATTTAATGGGAAGGAAAACTTTTACGATCTACCACATATTTTCAATCTTTACAAAACGTCTTAATTTAATTACCTCACTTGATTCCTTCAATCTCCCATATATTTTAAATTCCAATTCTGGACAGGTTATAAATATTATTATTTTATTTATTTTGGAGACTAGCTTTACCATTTAAACATATTTTGTTGTTTCTAATTGTTCTATTTATCAATATTTATTATTTTGTTTATTTTTGCTTTTTTTTTTGTATCAATAAATTATATAATGTATTGTACTTGTCAAACTAAATAGCTACTAAAAGCTAATCAATATATATATAGGTTAGGTTAGGTTAGTTTAAGTCACGACACTGGCGTTAGGATGGTGGCGTCGGGGAAGCAATATGAAACTCGCGTTAATTCCGCGAAACACAGTTTAAGAAACGCTGATGTAACTTATAACTGCACAGATTTTCTTACGCTTACATATAATTGATATGATACTAAAAAAAATATTTATAATTATGTTTACAGTTTGTCGATTCGAGTGATTTAAATTGAATGTGTACAAATTGTGAAAAGGGTATTTTATTGATTTTTAGAATCACGAGGAAATTGCTGTCAAAATTGACGTCAAATAACTTATATGTTTACATACACCTAAGTATAGTTTACATGTTACGGCGTCATGTGAAAATAAAATGTATTAACCCAAGTGAATAATAACGATTGACTGTTGATGCTGATGTTATGGATCCGAATTTAACTTTTCGCATTTTAAACAATTCGACGTATCTTATGCGAAGATGACATAAAAGAACTAATACACTTATTTTAACTCAAACTGCAGGGTAAATATTTTTTACTATATTATTAAGGATTATTACTAAAGGACCGTGGAAAGCAATACTCTGGACCATAGGCGTGCGCAGATTCCTGTTTTGGTGTGGCTATTTTTTTTTTTTTTTTTTGATCAGCCACCCCCTTTATAAAACCCCGCCTTAAAAAAAAAATAGATAAACAAAACATAAGTAAGTAGAAATAAAATTTATTAGAAAAACTGATATACAATCTTATTATCAATGAACGCCAGTCCAGGCAATTTACATTTTTTTTTAATTTGATAAAATTGATAAAAAAAAATTCCATTTTCCAAAAAAAAGAGTTAGCCCTTTTTACCTAAGCACTTAGTACCTACCTAACTAAAAAAAGTCTCAAGTTTGGTTATAGCCCCATAAGCCACACCCATGCGCACGTCTATGCTCTGAACCCTGTAAACTTTTATTTTCATACATTTAATATTGTAAATTTAATATAAATTAATTATAATAACCAAATAGATAATTATTTTTATTTTTAAAACATAAAGATTTGAAAAAGATTTTGTTCACTTGACCTCATTGATTTATTATTTTAATCTTTAGAAATCCAAAAATGCAATGTAAATTACTTGCCAACCCCTGCTCTAGATAATAATAAAAAAGGATTTTTTAAAATTCAACCTCAAGGAGGAAAAAAAGAGTAAAAATGAAAAAAATCACTTAGCCGGACACTCTATCTTCACCGGTGCAAATACTTTTTAAAATCCTTACTTATTGCACGTCTAGAGTATTGGAGAGACCTTGTCAAAAATTGCAAGTTTATACGATATGTTATTTTTTAGATGTAGTGATAATCAGTGAGCGAGTGGTAAGGGGATGCCGAATGGGAGGAAGGGGTTAAACTCCCCCCTGATATTTTAGCAAATATTTAAAAATGTAATACAATTTAAAAAATAGAAAATGTTACCATAGGGTATATATGCCGTAGTTATACGCCTCTCAATATTATTTGGAAAATTCACGAGTATACTACATATACTCTAGTTTCAAGCTCATCGCGAAGAAGTACTAAATGTAATTAATTATATAGGTTGGCCCGGCCAAGACTGTTCTGTCCGAATCCAAATAATTCAACTAGTATTTTATGTTTTTATTAAATTATGATTCATACATTATAAGAATATAACAACTACTTTAGTAAATATTAAAATATATATAAAATAAAAAGATTATAAAATCGTCAATCGAATTCAGCAAGTGGCTATTATTGCACTAGTTATCCTGCAATATAATTTATTTTGGCATTTAAGCATAAAAACTAAAAAACCCATAAAAACAATTTGCTAACTACAATGGCGGATTAGGACTTTAGTTATTATATCTCATAAGTCCTCTATGATCTTTATTTGATAAAACAACTAAAGTTGTTGACATTAATGAATTTACATCACTAATAAAATCACCAACATAAACATTGTTTTTATAATTAAAAAATATTGTACAATTAGTGTTATGTAAGCTAATTGGAGTGTCGCCAGTGGGCGGCTTCTCCACCCATATCCCCATGCTACTGTAATTAATTTATTCTCACTGATGATTATTATACCAAATTGTATAGATTATATAAATATTATTGTAGTATTATATATATATATGTATAATTAAGAGAAAAAAATATTAAAAATTGGATTTTTGGGCAAATTTATACGCATATCTATAGTCTTAAAAAAATTAAATTTTTTTTTTGCTGCTGTTTTTTCATAAGATCACGAATTCATGCTATTATTATATCATAGCAGTATAATTAAGAATTAACATAAAACGATAAAATTAATTATTATAAATAAAAATAATAAATTATGAATATAGTGCTATATTTAATTGAAAGACTACGGGAAAAACGATACCAAATAGTCAATATTCCTAAACTGATTAATATTGTAGTTATAAAAGTCTCAAAACTCGAAAAATTAAAAGATAAAATACAAAATAATCAAAAAAAAATATATTGTGGTAATATAATTAATTTTTGATAAAACGAATACAAAAAAATTTAATTTATATTTTAAAATAAATGATATATTCATCAGATATATTTATTTATTTACTAATATCGTTTTTCCCCGTAGCCTAGGACCGAATTAAAAAGGTGGTTCGGGGAGGCAATAGCTCTTCCTGAAATATTTAAGGAAGCAGCAATATTTTTACGGTGATTCTAAATAAAACCAAATCGATTTTAATTCTTAATGGAAAATTATTTATGAATAAATAAATAAATATAAAAAATAAATGTTACACTATAAAATCATTTATGTTTTTAGTAGTGTACAAAATGTATATCTATTTAAAATTATTTTATTTGACATGGTATTTTATTGAAACATAGGTATCGGTTTAATTTGATTTAATGGTGCATTAAGAAAGGTACTAAATTATTTAAAGGTACCACCAGTCTTACAAAATACAATTTTCTATATTATTTATGTAATTATAATTCAGTTATTATTTTGGATTTGATACTACAAATATTGTCTTATAATATACTGAAATCAGGAAAATTAATTGCGAGCAACTTTTTAATGAATAGTTGGAGACACCTATTTTTGGTTTTATACTTCAGGGAAGAGGGGCGGCAAATGTTGTTGCTTCTGGGCAGAGAAATCTTATATAAGGTCATGGCATAGCCTCTTCAATTGAAAACAACTAATTGAGAGTCGAGAAATACCATATACCCAGTGACGTATTTATGAGTGAGGAGGTTGTCATCGTCCGGGATTCGACCCCCCCCCCCAGAAAAAAAGTTTAAAAAGTCATGAATTTCTACGTAGGTACCGAGAAAGAGAATATTAATTTATATTGTGTTTTATTACTATATACCTAATTATTAAATCATAATTTGTGTGTATTTTTTATAATATTATAAACGTATACTAAATATTTAGACCCCCCCCCCAAAAGAAAATTTGAAAATATGCCACTGTTTATGATGAACAATTTTGTAATCGATATTTTGACATACAAAATAATGAAAAAAAAGTGCATAGTAAAGCTTCCCACAAGTTGGCTTTAAAAAATTACATTTGAAACCCCCCTCTCATAAAAAATTCTCAATTATGCTAATGTTCAGTT